ATCAATATGCCAAAGTGGCATATTTTGGGTCTGGCATATTTGGCTTCTCTTTACAAAACTATAGTAGAATATCACACCCAGGACATTAACATTGCCACATTGAAGATACATAACATTTCCATCCCCACAAGGTCCCCTCAAGTTGTCCTTTTGTACCCACATCCAATTCCTTCTATCTCTTATAACCCCCTTCTTATTGAAAATTACTAATCTGCCCACTATTTCTATAATTTTATCATTTCAAGAATGTCTAATTTGAATAATACATTAAGTGACATTTTAGAATGGGTACTCAGTATAATTCTGTTGGAGGTTCATCCAGGTTGTTGCATGTATCAGTGCTTCATACCTTTTCATTGCTGAGTAGGATTCCATGATGTAGATATTCCATGGTTTGTTTAACCACTCACCTCTTTAAGGACATATGGGTTATTTCCAGTTTGCAGTAGTTACAAATAAAACTGCTATGATTATTCATGTACAGGTTTTGTGTGAACACAGGTTTTCATTTCTTTGGCATAAAACATCCAGGATGGAATTGGTGGGTTGAGGGTAGTTGCACATCTAGTGTTTTAGACGTTTTACATTCCCACCAGCAATGTGTGAATGACCCAGTTTCTGCATCCTTACCAGTATTTGGTGTTGTTTCTACTTTTCATTTTAGCTATTCTCATAGGTATGCTGGGAAATCTTATTGTCTCTAGCCCCAAAGTCCTTTCAGGACTCTGTGGGAGAAACATCTGCCCACCCTTTTCTCCCTCCAGCTTGTTCTGAAGTACAGACCCCATGACTGTGTTTAGTTCTCCCACAGGTGGATCATGAGCTGTGTGAGGGGAACTGTTGGCTTTAGTTTCCTGACCATTCCCTGAGCACAGTTGTCTGTCACTGCCTGGACATTGTGCCTTGACTGTTATGTGAATAGGGAACCCTTGTTTGCATTTTGGAAGCATTGGCCTCCGCTAAAGTTCATGTGAGGGTATAGGGTCATTCTTACCTCAAGAGCCCCTGACTGGTGGACAGAGGGGCTCACTGCCATGTCCTGGGGCCCTGAGTGTCCATCTGTGCTGAGGGCAGAAGGGCCTGAAGTTTTCTAGGATCCTGAGTGTTCATCTGGGCTGAGGGCAGAGGAACTCTCTGCCATGTCTGGGGATCCTGAATGTTCATCAGGGCTGAGGGCAGAGGGGCTCTCTGCCATATTCTGGGGCCCTGAGTGTCCATCTGGGCTGAGGGAAGAGGGGTTCCTGGCTGCATTTACCAGACATTAGCGTCCATCTCAGTCTGTTTGGGCTACTATAACAAAATAGCTCATCAACAAAAAATTTATTTCCCACAGTTTGGGGGACACAGGAACATTCAGATTATAGTATTCTACACTTGGACCTCCCAAACTTTACGCCCTTCTTAAATGAAAAATACATTCATTCCATTTCAATAACCCCAGAACTCCTAACTCATTCCAGCATTAACTTAAAAATCTGAAGTCCAAAGTCTCATCTAAATAACATCTAAGTCCGATATGGATGAAACTCAGTGTATATCTGGAAGCAAATTTCTCCCTGCTGTGAACCAAAGATGTTGAATCTATCAACTCAAACATGTTATGTGCTTCCAAAATGCAATGGATGAACAGTCATAGGACAGATATTCCTATTCCAAAATGGAGAAATTGGAAAGAAGAAAGGTCCCTGGCAAGTCCCAAACCAGCAAGGGTCATACCATCGTTGGTCTGGGTAGCCCTTCCCCCATGAATTTGCTGGGCACAGCCCACTGTGCAGGCTGGAATCAAAAGCCAGTGGCTCTGCTGGTCTGTGGCTATAGTGGGCATTGTCCTGACAAGGGATTTTACTGTGATCTTGTGATCTTGGCAGTCCTATGACTGGGTCCAAAGCCTGAGGCTCAAGGTAATCTATCCTTCAAAATTAGGTTAAGACAGCCATGCCCCCTCCTCTTTGCTGGGTGCACCAGGTGCAGTGGAGACCACATTGTGAAGAAGTATCAAGGAGCACTGTCCTGCTCTTTAAAATCTTTCTGTGATGTAGGCTCTTTCACTCTGGGCCTAGAATGGGAGGGTCAGCCTGATGATCTCTGAAATGCTTTCTGGGCTATTCTTCCACTATGTTGGACAGTAAGTCTTGGCTTCTGTATTTAGATGGCTGACTAATCTCCAAACTGTCTTGATGAATAGCTCCTAGCTTCCCATTGAGATGTCAGATCCAAACTGATGTCCTTATCAAATTTGACCATATGCTTTGTGTACTCTCCTGAAGCTTTCTCATTTCTTTCAGTTTGGATAGGTTGAGAATTCCAAATTTTAAACTTTGGCTCAATTTTAAATTAACTTTTCCATCTTTAAGCCATTTCACACTTCTCTCATTTTGCTTGAAACTTTGAAGAGGAACTAGTTAGCTACTGCTACCCTTTGCTTAGAAGTCTCAATCAGCCCATTAGCCAATTTCATCTCTTACAGGTTCTACCTTGCACAAACTAGGATACAAACACAATTCAACCAAGTCCTTGACCACTTTATAACAAGAATTGCCTTTTCTTCATTGTCCAATAAGCATGTTCCTAATTCTGTCTGAGACCTCCTCAGAATGGCCTATACCATCAATAGTTCGACCAACATTTTATTCTTGACCACTTAGGTATTCTCTCTGAAGACTGAGACTTCTCCTCAGATGGCTCTCCTCCTTCTGAGCCCTTTCCAGAATTGCTTTTAATGGTCTATTCACAGTAATGTATGCTTTTCTTAGTGTACCTCTCCAGAATCTTCCATTCTCCACCCATTATCTAGTTCCAAAGCTGTTTCCATATTTTTAGGTATTATAGCAGCATCCTCACTTCTCAGGGATATTATAATGAAATGTGACTAACTGGGTGACTTATAAATGGCGGACATTTATTTCACAGTTCTGGAGGCTGGAAGTGTAGATGCCAGCCTGATTAGATGAGGGGCCTCTTGTAGGATGCAGACTTTTCATTATATCCTCATATGGTAGAAGGGTCAGGATATCTCTGTATCCTCTTTTATAAGGGCACTAATCTCATTCTGAGGATTTCACTCTCATGACCTCATGACTTCCCATAAGTCCACTGTCTAATGTCATCACTTCAAGTATTAGAATGTCAACATGTGAACTTTGGGAGGACATAAATATTCAGACTACAGCAGCAACCATTAGCATGATATAATTTTAGAATGTTCCATTACCCCATAAAGATCCCTAAGGCCCATTTGCAGTCATTCCTTATTGTTACCTCCAGCCTTAGGGAACCCTGATCTTTCTGTCTCTCTAAATCAACCTTTTCCAGACAGTTCATATAAATAGAATGAGATAATGTAGTCTTTTGTGTATCACTTTTTTCACTTTGCATAATGGACTTTGGGTTCATTCATAACATAGCATGTACGAGTAATTCCATAATGTAGCATATACTGCATTTTGTTTATCCATTCATTATGGGTAGACACTTGCAATGCTTCCAATTTTTTGCCTATTTTGAATAATATTGCTATGAACGTTTATGCTTTATGTGAGCTGTTAAAAAGGTAAACTGGGGTACAGTGAATTTTTAAGAGTTTATTTGAGCAAAAATCGGTTTGAATTGGCAGTGCCAAACTGGAAGTGGTTAGGAATGCTCACCAGCAGGAGCTCTGGGAAAGACTTTTACAGAGAAATGGGGGAAGCAAAGCAAAGAAATTATTTGATTGGCTATAGCTTAAGCATTTGCCATATTTGGGGGGCCTAGTTAGCTGTTTATGATCAGTTGTTATTAGATTTTTATTTCTTTTTTTGTAAGGTTTATTTATTTTGAGAGAGAGAGAGAGGCATGGGGTGGGGAGGGGCAGAGAGACAGGAGAGAGAATCTCAAGCAGGCTCTTTGCTGACATCACGGAGTCCAGCAATGCAGGGCTCAATCTCATAAACTGTGAGATCATGATCTGAGCTGAAATCAAGAGTCAGATGCTAACCAACTGAGCCACCCAGACACCCCATCGATTTTGATCTTTTAGTCTTGAGGCATTTATTATAGGCTTAGATTTTGGGTTGCTTATGTAGGTTGCTAAGGCATTAGAGACACTTCTGTATTTAATGGCCTCATTTAGTTAATTTAATAGGACATATGTTTTCATTTCTCTTGGGTAGATTCCTAAGAGAGGAATTTCTAGTCAGATGATAATTTACTATTTAACTGTTTAAGAAACGTCCAAACTTTTCCATGATGGCTGCATCATTTTACATTCCGACAAACAATATTTTATTTTATATTTTTAATGCTTATTTATTTTTGAGAGAGAGGGAGACACAGAATTCGAAGCAGGCTCCAGGATCTGAGCTGTCCAGGATCTGAGTGTTGAGTCAGATGTGGAGCTCGAACCCATGGACTGTGAGATCATGGCCTGAACTGACGACATTGGATGCTTAACTGACTGAGCCACCCAGGCACACCTCCCAGCAACAATATTTGAGGGTTCCAATTTTTCTGAATCCTTACCTTTCTTCATATTTTGTCTCAGAAATTCCATGTCCATTTGAATTATTAAATAGAAAAAGTACTTTCATGATTAAGTAGTAATACTGAAATCTCAATTAGATTAAGCATTTGGCTATGTACCTTTGGTTTAATAACAGTCTCAGTAATTGGGAAGAATTGATATATGTTGTGGAACTAATGGCCCAGGGATCATACGGTAAATAATTAATGACAATTTGCTACAGTCTTCCTTATAGAACATACGTTAGCCTTCTGCCTCTACTTTTGGGTCATCTAATTACTCAGGAAATGAAATCAGCTTTCTTTAGAAGGCAGACTGATAGTGTTTCTGTGTGTATTTGGAGTGTCCAGACTCTGAAATAAAAGGACCCATGATTTATATATTTTCTTAATAAATATGGCATAGAGAAATAACATTGATGGATGCTAATAGCAATATAGGCTTTTGTGTATTTTAAACCTCTGTAGACTGGAATGCAATAATTTCCTATGTTCCTTTTCAGATTGTTCATAGAACACTGGCAGCCATGTTGGGTTCCCTTGCAGCATTAGCAGCACTGGCTGTGATTGGAGATGTAAGTTGTAACATTTTGAGTCAATGGCTTACCACTGAATAGAGTGTAAGATTCAAGGATAGTCCAGGAATTAGGCATTAGCTAGTAATTTTCATTCTTTTATATGCTATTTTCACATTTCTCCCTCAGGAACCATGCTGGAAGCATAAACCAACAAACCTTATCAGCATTGATGAGTGTTTTTCATTTGACTTGCACACACATTTTTTAATTCTCCATTTTAGCTGAGGGAAGGCTCATCCTACTCAATTCCCCAGGGCTGTGTAGCTGAGTGGTGTTAGATTTGGCTCTGGGTGCTGTCAGTCTTTGGGAACTAGAGGGGGATATCCTGCCTGGAGCAGAGAGGTGAGAAGTGGTGAGGTTGGGGTTCTGTCTTGCAGACATCAGGAGGTCCCTGGAAATGCATGTTTGGGGGTAATGGCACATATCAGGATATGCATGTGGCCTGTCTGGCAGGAACATAGGAGCGAATGTAGAGAAGCAAGACAGGCCAAGTGCCCACTGGAGATAGAGGACTACCATTGTTGAAGGAACAGTGCTGGAACTGAAGAAGGTGGCAGCACACAGAGCTGGATTTGAAAACAACTCTATATTTTTGTATCCTTTGGGTAAATACCTAGTAGTGCAATTGCTGGGGTGTACGGTAGTTAGTTTTATTTTTAACTTTTTGAGGAACCTCCATACTGTTTTCCAGGTGGCTACAACAGTTTTCATTCCTAGCAACAGCAAAATAAGTAAATCAGAGAAAAACAAATGCCATATGATTTCACTCATATGTGGAATTCAAGAAACAAAACAGATGAACATATAGGGGAAGTGGAAAAGAAAAGAGGGGGAGAAACAAACTATAAGAGACTCTTAACAATAGAGAATAAACTGAGGGTTGATGGAAGCAGGTAGGTGGGGGATGGGTTAGATGAGTGATGGACATTAAGGAGGGCACCTTTTGGGATGGGCACTGGGTGTTGTATGTAAGTAATGAATCACTGAGTTCTACTCCTAAAACCAATGTTACACTGTATGTTAATTAACTAGAATTTAAATAAAATTTTTAAAAGAAAAAATAACTCTATAGAATTCAAAGGAGTTTTCTGCAAAGTGCTACTAAAGGCTACTTAGTTAACCAAAGAATAATAACTGGTTTAAAAACTATGTGGGACTATGTTGTTATTTATTCATTCAGTCATTCATTCTTGGCTAGAGTTGGTATAAACAAATGCTAACCGGAAGGAGGCTAAAACTTATACATAAACCACTGCTATTTTTATTAACTCTTAAGGAGTAGTATAGTAGTAGCTATTTTGTTTTAGAAAATATTAATGTGGCATACATCTTGTGCTGCTGGTAGCTCCTTGGGCCATCATGCAGCCCTTTCCCAACAACCAGACCTTCAAACTGCCCTCACTTCACACTCCATGATCCCAGTTCCCCATGACCCCAGGCTTCCCTGCTCTGCAGAGTTGTTAGAAGATGAAGTGAGAGTGGATGAACAACTGATGACTAGGACAAGTGTATCTCAGTTATTGCTATCCTGGATTCATGCTCCAGTACCAAGGAAGGCATGTGGAGACTTCACTAATCCCAACAGTCAATCCTTCAGTTCAGGCTGCAGTTCTTCATGGAGTTGCCAGGGACAGGGTTTAAGAAATTTGCTTTTCCTATTACCAAATGCATAAGCTTGATATTATGATGCCTTGGTTTTCTTTGACGAGTGGTTTTTATTGATGTTATACTCAAGTTTTAAAGGCAAGTGGATAGTATGATTTTTGACTCTGAGCTTGTTACAAAGAGTGGCATATTTTTTGTTTGTTTGTTTGTTTACAGCTTATCACCAGAAGGATGATGCCTGAAATTAATTGTAAAATTTGTGCTTTGATTGCAGAGACCTAGCCTGACCCATGTGGTGGAGTGGATTGATTTTGAGACCTTGGCCCTGCTATTTGGCATGGTAATTACAATCCTCCCAGTGGGTTAGGGCTCCAAGCCTGCTGTAACCTGGGGCCTTCTCTTTTTGCTGCCACTGCTGATAATCTTTCATTATATTAAAGACATTGTACTGCTTGACAATTAGGGCTTGATTAGGAAGTGTTAGTGCAGGCCTAGCCAATTTCTCCTGTGGCGGAATGGAATGATTGGTGCCCTGGTTAGTTAGCTGGAGAACTGCAGTCTTAGGCCTCTCTAATAGTTAAATAATATTGCCATTTAGATAACAGCAAGATTTTTGAATTGCTTCCCTTAAAATATACAATGGAATATCCCAAATAAGTGAACCATATAAGTTTTGGGGATTGGATAAACACCTGTAATTAGATACATGGAAAATGAAAGAAATTGTCCCTAAGTAATAGTTTGTGTGTCATAAACTATTTTAACTAGAATATGTGAAATTTGATAAGATCCTGGACAGCAGTGGGAATGCCTCACGCGTTCTTGAACAGACCCTACAAATGGTTAAGTGGTCTGAAGGAGGGTTTTCCCTTTTTTGACAAAAGATCCACTCTGTGTAAAGCAGGTTATTATATATTCTCACTTTCCTGGCTAACATTTTATTCCCTGTGGTAGTCATAAGAGAGAGCCATGATACTCTAGGCTTCAATCGAGTCCATAATACATGGTTTAATTTTTTTCTCAGTTGAAACCAGTTCAGCAAGATTCTAGATTCTATGATTCTAGAACCTTGGAGGTGCAAAGATAGTCTATATATTCAGGCGCCTGCCTTTTCCTCTTTATTTCATGACAGTCAGCTACCCCATGGGGCCACTTACCCTAGTCCCTGAATTTCAGTCTCTTTTGGGTAGTTTTGGCAGCAAATGTGTGGATAAGCTTCCCCACAATGATGGAAGACCACATGGAGCCTACCTATTCAGTTCATGTGAAGCTTCTATTGGTGAGTGAAGCACCACATTCTACAGACGGTAACAGGTGGCTTCTTGGGTTAGGATGAACATCGATGGTTACTATAGACAAGGTAGATATTTGTATTGAGTCTAAACTGACTTTTGGAAACTTTTGTTTTGTACAGAATATTTGAAAAATAATATTGGGCCTGCTATTTTCTAAGTACTTTAATTTACATGACTTTATTGAATTTTCACAATAGCTTTACAGTGAACAAAACATTCAGAGGTGAGGTGAGGAAGCTGAAGTACAGAGGATTAAATACATTTTTTTTTACACAAGGTTAACTACTTCTAAATGGCAGGATTAGTTCTTGAACCCGCAGCTTCTCTTTCCAAGTTCAACAAATGGTATATTGCAATCAATCATTTAATTGTAACTGCTCTCATTTGTGTGTTTTGATCAAATTGGTGATGAAAATCTGTATCATTACTTTTGGAAACAAAATTTAACTCAGTTTAAAAATCTTAAAATGTTTAATTGTTGCTTGTGTGGACATTTAGGTGCATAAGGCCACATTCTGGCTCATTTCCTTTCCTCTTCTAGCTTTGTGACTGTGAGCAAGTTTCCTCCCATCTCTGCCCCCTGGTTTCCTGGTCTGTAAAACAGAGAGTAATGATAACACCTGATGTTTTTTGTGAAGATTATGTGGAATGATAAAGTTCCTGGACAAAAATAGAGGCATAAGCCTGCTACCAAGAGGTTCCATTCAGGAAGTTAGTAAGTGGACTATACTCAAAAAGAGAGCGAGAAGCTTGATGAAATGTTAGCTTTCATGCAGAGGCCAGAGCTGAGATTTGTAACTGATCACTCTGACGTCCTTTCAAGATGAAACGCTGCTAAAAGATTACCCTTGTCTCATTTTTCTGTTTTCCCCACAGATGATCTTAGTAGCCATATTTTCAGAAACTGGATTTTTTGATTATTGTGCTGTAAAGGTAGGTTTGATGTGGGATTTATTTATGTATTAATTCACTGATATATATTTTTACCACTGCATATTCAGTTAATGAAGCTACCATTTAAAGGAAATATTTTAAAATTCCATCTTCCTTTTCAAAATTATGGCTGTAAGATTAGGTACAGTTGCTGTGCTAAGTTAGGTGACTCTGAGCAACACTTTGATCTTAGTAAACTGAAGAAGAGATCCAGGAAGAGTATTTGATTTGAATGTTTGTGTAACATTAGTTAAATTGGCAAGTTGAGAGCTACATATCAAAAATTGTTTTGCATTTTAGAGCATCTAAATATTTCAAGTCATCAGCTTCTGATTACTTTGCCTCTTGGTGAAATAATTTCAGTGATGACTTTCTAATTATTGAATATATAAACATTCACTTTTATAACTGGAATCCTGAGGAATCTACCAGCAATTTCTGACAGCCAGACTCTGAACTGGTGCTACCACTCAGGTTTGGTGAGAGGAGGTCTTACCAAGCTTTCAAAATGCAAGCGTTGTGCTTGATTTTCTTTTTTGAACTGGAAACTTCTTTTAAAAGATTACTTACTCAACAAAGCCCTTTGCACACTCTTAATTACAGAATTTTTGCCATCTCTGTGTACCGTCTTGGACCTTCAAATATCTTATCTCTTAAAAATCCTTGAGATCTAAATTCCTTAGATCTCCAACAATCAGTAGGCTTAAGGGTCATAGCCCAGGATGTCTAACCAAAAGGAGATTGTAAGACTCTGGATAATGTTAAAAGGATAGAGGGCAATCACCTTGTGACCAGTGAACCACCAAAGGGCATTGTGAAGAAGGAGAATCAGAGGGAAGGAGGGTAGCTCAGGGTAGATTCAGAATGTCCAGGTATAGGCCATCACTTCCTCATCTTAACAAATTTAGAAACTCATTGGTCTAAGTTTTAATCCACCATGTAGTGGTTATTTGGACCGTTGGTTCTTAGAATCCATAATGAAAAGTCACATCTATTCTTCAACCCCACTGATCCTGGCTTGTTCCTTTCTGTGTGTGTGCATCTCAGACGTACCGACTGTCTAGAGGAAGAGTGTGGGCCATGATCATCATGTTGTGCCTCATTGCCGCTGTCCTGTCTGCCTTCCTGGACAATGTCACTACATTGCTACTTTTTACTCCTGTGACCATAAGGTATGCAGAATGGCCCTGTCTAGTGGCGTGTTCTGGTTGTTCAATCTAGTCCCCATGTTCCCTTTGCTGCGGTGCCTTGGTCCAGCCTGTGCATCCTCCAGGACTGTGATGCTCGGTGCTCATGGGTATGGCTATAGCTTTTGCTTATGGCCATGGTTATGACAGAAGCATTGGTCCCCACAGAAACATCCTTGGAAGACACAAGACCCAGGCTTTGCTTTCCAGGGGTGAGGAGCAGATGGGTGCCAGGAGGTCTTATCCATTGAGCTGGTCACAGGTGAAGCAGAGCAGTGTGGGAGCTCCTACCAGATGGTCAGGGACCGGTAGCCAGAGGCTGGGGAAGTTGGGGCAGCTATCTTGCTCTCCTCAGGGTTGTGGGACCTGGCCTGACAAGGCTTTGCATGGTAACTTTGAGAAAGAGAAATTCAATTTGATTCCATTTCATTTCTTTTAATTCTATCCACTTCATTAATTAGAAATTTATTGAGCATCAGAGGCCATTTGCCTTGAATCTCTTGAACCTTGAGTTTCAGGTCTGGTCATTATGCAGGCCCTTTGCAAGGCCTATATAAAAGTGTAAAACTATACTTTTATCCAGACTTTATGTTATTTACTTTGAAGATGGTTCCCCAGTATATCATGGTCCAATCATGTCCTGGTACTTGGTCCTAGGGAAATATATACCCTCTGAGTATTCATGGGAGCAAGCTAGGTACTGAAGGATCCTAGACAAGTCACTTCAGCTACACTGATCTGTGTTATGGCATCAAAAGGACTAATCTAAGCTAGTGTTTTGAAGATTCCATTAGATAAGAGCCTCTCTTAGACATGAAGCATGAAACACTGCAAGTTCAAAGTGACCAAAAGGGGGCTACTTCCAGGGCTCAAGAGTAATTCTAGGCGATGCCTTTGGCATTTGAAGAATGGTGACTCTCAGAGGTGAAGTGAATTGGAGTGGGGGTAGGGGGAGGAGAAGTAATGGTGGAAAGGAGTAGAAAACAGGCAATGTCCCCACAGGTGCAGACTGCAGTGTTGAGAATTAGTCTCTTGTCCAAGCTCCTGCAAGCTTGGCTGCATTGTCATGCCCTACATGCCCACAGGGTTTGCGGTGAGGAATGCTGGATTCAGCCTTCCTGTTCAGGGGTGTGTAGCACTTCCTAGTATGTGGAGTTCTTCTGAGGGCAAATGAAGCCTGGAGTGAAAGTGTCTCAAGGGTGCTGCAAATGTAACATGTGCTATGAATGGCAGGCACGAGACTCTGCTTCTAAAATGCCTCAAGGGCAAGAGGCAGTTCACCGTTATCCCCTCAACCAAGGTGACTGCTGCTGTCACTGGTTTAAAAGCCATAGTATCACCTATGCACCAGGCCCCTGAATATCATTGTGCTCTCTGATGGCAGCTCCAATGAGAGCAGACTTCCATGGGGAACCCAGATTCCTGGCATCCCTAGACAGTCTGGAAAGCTGAGGGTTTTCTCATCCTTGCTAGGATTTTTCTATATTCTCACTATTACAGAAACCAGATTTGTAATTTTCTGTGAGTCTAAAAGTTACAGCTTTCAAGATTTAAGTCTTAGTGTGTTAAGATTCACTATATTACCATATATTTTTTCTTTCATAGTTTATTGTCAAGTTGGATTCCATATAACACCCAGTGCTCATCCCCACAAGTGCCCTCCTCCATGCCCATCATCTCTTACCCTCTCCCCTCTCCATCAGCCCTCAGTTTGTTCTCAGTATTCAAGAGTCTCTCATGGTTTGCCTCCCTCCCTCTCTCCAACTATTACTTCTTCTCCTCCCCCATTGTCCTCCGTTAAGTTCCTCCTAATCCACCTATACATGCAAACTATGGTATCTGTCTTTCTCATTCTGACTTATATCGTTCAGCATAACACCCTCAATTTCCATCCATGTTGCTACACATGGCCGGATTTCATTCTTTCTCATTGCCATGTAGTATTGCATTGTATAGATAAACCACATCTTCTTGATCCATTCGTTGGTTGATGGACACTTAGGCTCTTTCCATGATTTGGCTATTGTTGAAACTGTTGCTATGAACATTGGGGGTACATGTGCCCCTATGCATTAGCACTCCCGTATCCCTTGGGTAGATTCCTAGCAGTGTTATTGCTGGGTAATAGGGGAGTTCTATTGTTAATTTCTTGAGGAACCTCCACACTATTTTCCAGAGGGGCTGCACCAGTTTACATTCCCACCAACAGTGTATTCTCCACATCCTCCTGTACCAGTTGACATTCCCATCAACAGTGTGGGAGGGTGTCCATTTCTCCGCATCCTCGCCAGCATCTATAGTCTCCTGATTTGTTCATTTTAGCCACTCTGACCAGCATGAGGTGGTATCTCAGTGTGGTTTTGATTTGTATTTCCCGGATTATAAGTGATGCTGAGCATCGTTTCATGTGTCTGTTGGCCATCTGGATGTCCTCTTTGGAGAAGTGTCTGTTCATGTCTTCTGCCCATTTCTTCACTGGATTGATTATTTTTGGGGTTTGGAGTTTGGTGAGTTCCTTATAGATTTTGGATATTAGCCCTTTATCTGATATGTCGTTTGCAACTCTCTTTTCCCATTACGTCATTTGCCTATTAGTTTTATTGGTTGTTTCCCTTGCGTCCAGAAGCTTTTTATCTTGATGAGGCCCTGATAGTCTATTTTTTCTCTTGATTCCCTTGCCTTTGGGAATGTGTCAAGTAAGAAAGTGCTGCGGTGGAGGTCAAGGAGGTTGTTACCTCCGTTTTCCTCTAGGATTCTGATGGTTTCCTATCTGATATTCAGGTACTATGTCATTTTCAGTTTATTTTGGTGTCTGGTGTGAGACAGTGATCCAGTTTCATTCTTCTGCATGTTGCTGTCCAGTTCTCCCAGCACCATCTGTTAAAGAGGCTGTCTTTTTTTCCATTGGATGCTCTTTTCTGCTTTGCCAAAGATTAGTTGGCTGTACGTTTGTAGGTCCAATTCTGAGTTCTCTATTCTATTCCATTGGTCTATGCATCTGGTTTTGTGCTAATACCATACTGTCTTGAATATTACAGCTTTGTAGCAGAGGCTAAAGTCTGGGATGGTGATACCTCCCGTTTTGGTTTTTTTCTTCAATATTACTTTGGCTATTCGTGTTCTTTTTGTGATTCCATACAAATTTTAGGATAGTTTGTTCTAGTTTTGAGAAGTATGCTGGTGCTATTTTGATTGTGATTGCATTGAATGTGTAGATTGCTTTGGGTAGTAATGACATTTTAACAATATTTATTCTTCCAATCCATGAGCATGGAATGTTTTTCCATTTCTTTGTGTCTTCTTCAATTTCCTTCTTGAGTTTTCTATAGTTTTCAAGATACAGATCTCTTATATATTTGGTTAGGTTTATTCCTAGACATTTTATGGGTTTTTGTGTGTGTGTGTGTGCAGTTATGAATGGGATCAGTTTCTTGATAAGTCTTTCTGTTGCTTCATTATTGGTATATAAAAATGCAACCGATTTCTGTATGTTGATTTTGTACCCTCCAACTTTGCTCATTTCATGAATCAATTCTAGTAGGCTTCTGGTGGAGTCTGTTGGGTTTTCTATGTAGAGTATCCTGTCATCTGTGAAGTGTGAGAATTTGTCTTCTTTGTTGGCAATTCTGATGCCTTTTATTTCCTTTTGTTGTCTGATTGCTGATTATAGGACTTCCAGCACTATGTTAAACAACAGTAGTGAGAATGGACATCCCTGCCTTGTTCCTGATTTCAGGGGGAATGCTCTCAGTTTTTCCCCTTAAGGATGATGTTAGCCGAGGGCTTCTCATAAGTGGCTTTATGATGTTTAAATAAGTTCCTTGTATCCCGACTTTCTCGAGGGTCTTTATTAAGAAGGGATGCTGTATCTTGTCAAATGCTTTTTCTGCATCTATCGACAGGATCATATGGTTTTTATCTTTTCTTTTGTTAATGTGATGTATATCACGTTGATATGCGAATATTGAACCAGCCCTGTAACCCAGGAATGAATACCACTTGATCTTGGTGGATAATTCTTTTTACGTGCTGTTGCATTCGATTTGCAAGTATCTTCTTGAGGATTTTTGTGTCCGTATTAATCAAGGATATTGGCCTGTAGTTCTCTTTTTTTGCTGGGTCTTTGTCTGGCTTGGGAATCAAAGTGATGCTGGCTTTGTAAAATGAGTCTGGAAGTTTTCTTTTGATTTTTATTTTTTGCAATAGCTTGAAAAGAATGGGTATTAACTGTTTTAAATGTCTGGTAGAATTCCCCAGGGAAGCCGTCTGGCCCAGGGCTCTTATTTGTTGAGGGGTTTTTGATGTCTGATTTGATTTCTTCACTAGGTTATGGAGCTGTTCAGGTTTTCTATCTCTTCCCATGTGAATTTTGGTAGTGAGTGTGTGTTTAGGAATGTCCATTTCTTCTAAGTTGTCCAATTTGTTGGTATATTATTTTTCATAGAATTCCCTGATAATTGCTTGTATTTCTGAGCGGTTGGTTGTAAGACGTCCTTTTTCATTCATAATTTTGTCTATTTGAGTGCTCTCTCTTTTCTTCTTGAGAAGCCTGGCTAGAGGTTTGTCAATTTTGTTTACATTTTCAAAAAACAGCTGCTGTTTTCATTGATCTGTTCAACTGCTTTGTTTTTTGTTTTTTTGGATTCCATATTTTTTATTTCTGGTCTGATATTTATTATTTCTCTTCTCCTATTGGGTTTTGGGTGCTCTGCTTGCTCTCCCTCAAGTTCTTTTAGGTGCACTGTTAGATTTTGTACTTGTGTTTTTCTAATTTCTTGAAATAGGCCTGGAGTGCAATGTACTTTCCTTTTAGGACTGCCTTAGCTGCATCCCATAGAGTTTGGACTGTTGTATTTTCATTTTTATTTGTTTCCATATATTTTAAAATTTCTTCTCTAGTTGCCTGATTGGCCCATTCATTTTTAGTAGAGTGTTCTTTAACCTCCATATTTTTGGAGATTTTCCATACTTCTTCCTGTGATTGA